TCAGGAGAGTAAGTATTAATTCTTCTTTAAATGTTTGGTAGAATTCCCCTGGGAAGGCACTTGTTTGTTGGGTGATTTTTGATGACTGCTTCAATTTCCTTACTGGTTATGGGTCTGTTCAGGTTTTCTACTTCTTCCTGATTCCGTTTTGGTAGTTTGTCTCTAGGAATGCATCCATTTCTTCCAGATTGTCAAATTTGCTGGCGTATAGTTGCTCATAATATGTTCTTATAATTGTATTTCTTTAGTGTTGGTTGTGATCGCTCCTCTTTCATTCATGATTTTATTAATTTGGGTCCTTTCTCTTTTCTTTTTAATAAGTCTGGCCAGACTTGTTATTAATTATTATTATTATTAATTCTTTTAAAGAACCAGCTCCTACTAGTTTCATTATTTGTTCTACTGTTCTTTTGGTTTCTATTTCAATGATTTCTGCTCTGATCGTTATTCCTTTTCTCCTGCTGAGTTTAGGCTTTCTTTGCTGTACTGTCTCCAGCTCCTTTAGGTGTAGGGTTAGGTTGTATACTTGAGACCTTTCTTGTTTCTTGAGAAAGGCCTGTATTGCTATCTTAGGACCACCTTTGCTGTACCCCCCAAATTTTGAACAGTTGTGTTTTCATTTTCATTTGTTTCCACAAATTTTTTTAATTCTTCTTTGATTTCCTGGTTGACCCATACATTCTTTAGTAGGATGCTCTTTAGCCTCCATGTACTTGAGTTCTTCCAATTTTCCTTTGTAACTGAGTTCCAGCTTCAGAGCACTGTGGTCTGAAAATATGCAAGGAATGATCCCAATTCTTTTGGTATCAGTTGAGACCTGACTTGTGACCCAGGATGTGATCTATTCTGGAGAATGTTCCAGGTGCACTAGAGAAGAATGTGTATTCTGTTGCTTTGGGAACAATGTTCTGAATATATCTGTGATGTCCACCTGATCAAATGTGCCATTTAAAGCCTTTATTCCTTGTTGATCTTTTGCTTAAATCATCTGCCCATTTTGGTGAGGGGTGTGTTAAAGTCCCCTACTATTACTGTAGTATTGTCATGTGTTTCTTTGATTTTGTTATTAATTGGCTTATATAATTGGCTGCCCCCATGTTAGGGGCATACATATTTAAAACTGTTAGATCTTCTTGTTAGATAAGACCCTTTAAGTATGATATAGTGTCCTTCCTCATCTATTACTATAGTCTTTGGTTTAAAATCTAATTTTTCTGATATAAGGATTGCCACCCCAGCTTTCTCTTGATGTTCACTAGCACGGTAAATGGTTTTCCATCCCCTCACTTTAAATCTGGAGGCGTCTTTGGGTCTACAATGAGTCTCTTGCAGACGGCGTATCGATGGGTCTCGTTTTTTTTTTTATCCAATCTGAAATTCTGTGTCATCTGATTGGGGCATTTAGCCCATTTCCATTCAGGGTAACTACTGAAAGACACGAATTTACGGACATTGTATTGCCTGTAAGGTGACTATTACTGTATACCATGTTTGTTCCTTTCTGGTCTACGGTAGTTTTAGGCTCCCTCTCTGCTTAGTAGACCCCTTTCAATTATTTCGTGTAGGGCTGGCTTAATGTTCGCAAATTCTTTTAGTTTTTGCTTCTCCTGGAAATTTTTTCTCTCTCCTTCTATCTTCAATGACAGCCGAGCTGGATATAGTATTCTTGGCCGCACATATTTCTCACTTAGTGCTCTGAAGAGATCAGGCCAGTCCTTTCTGGCTTGCCAGGTCTCTGGATAGTTCTGCTGCCAATCTAATAGATATTTCTACCGTTGCGGGTTACAGGCCTCTTGTCTGGAGCTGCTTTCAGGATTTTCTCTTTTTCTCTGAGACCTGTAAGCTCTACTATTAGATAACAGGGTGTTGACCTATTTTTACTAATTTGGGGGGGTGAATGTTCTCTGTGCCTCCTGGATTTTGATACCTGCTTCCTTCCTCAAATTAGGGAAGTTCTCTGCTATAATTTGCTCCAATATACCTTCTGCCCCTCTTTCTTCTTGTTTTGGGATCCCAATTATTCTACTATTGTTTCATCTTATAGTATCCCTTATCTCTTGAATTCTCCCCTCATGATCTACTGGTAGTTTACCTTTTTCTCAGTTTCCTAACTCTCCATCATTTGGTCTTCTATATCACTAATTCTGTCTCCTACCTCATTTACCCTAGTAGTTAGAGACTCCATTTTTGATTGCACCTCGTTAATAACCTTTTTGATTTCAACTTGGTTAGATTTTAGTTCTTTTATTTCTCCAGAAAGGGTTCTCTAGTATCTTCTATGCTTTTTTCAAGCCCAGCTAGTATGTTTATGATCATCATTCTGAGGTCTACTTCTGATATCTTATTAATGCCCATATTGATTAGAGCCCTGGCAGTCGGTACTACCTCTTGTTCTTTGAGATGAGTTTTTCCGTTTTGTCATTTTGTCCAGAAAACAGATGAATGAGAGAACAAAATGCTAAAAGGGTAACAACGACCCCAGAAAAAATACACTAAACAAATTAGAAGAGACCCAAAACCGGGGCGAAAGGAAGGGAAGGGGAGGGGGCGAATATGATTAGGCTGGTGAATAGAACAGAGCCACACACTAGATTTTGGTTGTATTTTGATCGTTAGAAGAAACTGCATCCCACAATTTTAAGGAAAGAAAAACCTACATTACACGAAAAACAAGGTCAAATACAATGAAGGGATAGAGAATGCCTGTAAAAAATAAAATTAAAAAAGATTTTTAAAAAGGAATTGTAAGCTGTCGGTTGAAAAAGGAAAGAAGAAAATTTCAAAAAAAAGTAGAAAAAGAAAAAACTAAAGAAAATTTTAAAAATTAACTTTGACTCAAGAATCGTCGGGGAGAAGCCATGAGTTCCATGCACTGTACCCCCGAGCACCGCAACTGTGCAGTTCTCACTGATCAGTAAACTTGGTCTTGGCTGGATGTTCTTGCTGATCTTCTGGGGGAGGGGCCTACTGTAGTGATTCTCAAATGTCTTTGCACTAGGGGGAACTGCACCGCCCTTGCCAGGGGCCGGGCTAAGTCATCCGCTCGGGTTCGCTTTCGGTAGCTTCTGTTCCCTGCAAGCTTTCTGTACAGCTTTCGAGGACGGTAATGAACATGGCGGCCTCCCAATCTCCAGCCACGAAGGAGTTGAGAACTCAGGGCCGCGCTCCTCAGTGAGCTCTCAGCAAAAAGCGGTCCATCACTCCCACCTCCCGGGTCTCCGGCCGCACTCTGTGCTCACCCGGCCCATGACTGAGCATTTCTCTCTCTGGCACACGGCCCCGTTTGGAGTCTCCAAGCCCAGCAGATTCCTGCAGTCTGCCCCTGTACTGCTCCCTCCGGGGGAGGAAGGGAGCCTCCCCAGATCTGCTGCTTGTTAGGTCCGTGCTCAAAGAGCAGCGGCCCGACTGCGCCTCGGATCATGGTTTAAGGTAACCCCGAGCTGAGAGGCCCCTCCTCAGCTCCATCTTCTGCAGCCTTTAGGCACCCCGGTCTTTCTGTGACCCCGACAGACCTGAGACCACACTGTCCCAGCAAGGGTTCCATCCCCCGCTTAGCCAGTGGAGCGACGTCCCTCACCGGAGCACACTTCTAAAATCTCCAAGCGCTCCGCTGCTCCACTGCTTGCTGGGTGCTGGCTGATGGAGGTTCCCTCCCCCGGCAGTCTATCTTCCGTATATCATTTGGGATTCAATTCTCAGCACCTCCAACCTTCCACAAAGTGGTCGCTTTTCTGTTCATAGAATTGCTGCTACTCTTTTCTTCTATCTCCCGCTGAGTTTGTAGGTGTTCAGAATGGTTTGATAACTCGCTGAATTCCTGGGACCAGACGAAATTTAGATCACCTACTCCTCCACCATCTTGTTCCTCTCCCCCTAATGTAGATGATTCTGTAAAATTCCTGGGGCATCACAGTTTTCAAATGGCAATGAGGTAATTTTTTTTTTAACTGCACAAGGTCACTGTTCTTTATTCAGAACTATTTACCTTTATTATTAAATTTTCTGACTGCAACTACAAGGTAATTTTTTACATTTTCAACACAGTATTTAAAATCTTAAGAAATATGTAGGAGCGCCTGGGTGGTGCAAAGTGTCCAACTCTTGCTTTCCACTAAGGTCGTGATCTTAGGGTCATAAGATCAAGCCCTGTGTGGGGCCCGCACTGAGCATGGAGCCTGCTGAAGATTCTCGCTCTCCTTCTTCCTCTGCCCCGCCCCCGAGCTCTCTAAAATAAATAAATCTTAGACAAAAGTGTAGAGAATAATCCTCATTTGAGAACCCCACCCCCTGGACTATGCCCCACGTACTTCTGCCAGTACTCATCCCTCTAACTCCTACTAGAGCGCCTCACCAGCAGTAATCACTATACGGAACTGACATTTATGACTACTGCGAATGTTTTTAGCCCTTTACTGCATGTGTGTGTATCCCTAAAGACATTTCCATGTTCACTAGTAATCAGAGAAATAAAAATTTAAAATTATAGTGAGAGACTATTATACACATACAAAATTGGGAAAAATTTTAAAGTCTAGCCAAATATTAGGCAGGCCACAGAACAAAAGAACTCTGGCAATGACAGCTGGGGATCCACCAAATCAGTACCACCACTGCCTAAAAACACAGAGACAGAAGGGACAACAGGGCCCTATAGACAATACAGGCCTGGAACTGGAGCCTACCAGAAAGGCCTTACCTTCCTACCTGGAAGACCTGCCCCGGCACTCACATCAGCGCAGCAGGGGCAGGCCTACTTGGAAAAGAGCATCAGAGAGCCAATATACCGTCCTCAGGAAAGATCTCTGGGGAGCCGGGACGCCTGGCTGGCTCAGTGTGTGGAGCAGCGACACTCGATCTTCAGGTTTTGAGTTTGAGCCCCACACTGGGTGTGGAGGTTACGTAAACATAAAATCTTAATTTAAAAAAAAGAAAAATCTCTGAGAGCCAAGCGGCAGAATGAGAGAAATCAGCACGAACTACAAGAACCAGTCATTCCATACCTGTCCCAGTCCTCGTCAGCGGCTCTTCTTCTCCAAGATCGCTCTGCGCCAGGCTTATCAAACTGGTCGAAGTCATCATCTGTGAAAGAGAGGCCGTAAGTCAGTCTTATTAAAGTAAAACAGACACAGATGTTCTAATACTGACGGCCCCTGACTTAACAACGGTTTAACCTATGATTTTCAACTTTGCAATGCTGCAAAAGCAACACGCGTTCAGTGAAAACCACACTCCGAATTACCAATGTGGGTCTTTTCCCCGAGCTGGCAATGTGCAGTACAGTTCTTTCTCATAATGCTGGGCAGGGAGCAGCAACAGCCACAGCTCCCAGTAGGCAAGGGATCATGAGGGTAAACAAGCAATACACGAACAACCATCTGTCCCCACACAACCGCTCTGTTTGTCACTTTCGGTACAATACATTCACACCGTTGACACCGGCACAGTATATTCAATACGTCACAAAACACAGCTAACACTTTATTATAAAACAGGCTTTGTGTTACATGACATGAGTTTGCCTTAAACAGGCCAGGCTGAACTATAATACAATGTTAAGCAGGTTAGGTCCACACATGTTTGAATTATAGCGTTTTCGAGCTGCGGCAAGCTTATCAGGATATAACTCGGTAAGATGAGGAAGATCTGTACTGAAACAACGTTCTTCTTTTAAGGATTCCTGACGTAACATTTTAAAATGTGAAAGTTTTGGCTCTCTGCTCCTTCCGATTTGACAGATGGCCACTTCTCTGCAGTGCCGCTTGCACCTGAAACGCAACGGTGAAGGTCTACACGTTCCAGTAGGAGGCCACCCGTGGCAGATTCAATGGCACAATCAAGGCTGAGAACAGGAAACCTGTGTTCAGTGGAAAGCCCATCTCCATCTTCCAGGAACAAGATCCCACAACATCAGAGGGGCTAATTGTGGAGCCGGGTAGGTTCTAAAGTCCTCTGGGGACATGGAGAAGGCTGGCACTCACTTGAAGAATGGAGCCGAGAGGCTCGTCATCTCGACCTCCTTCGCTGAAGCCCCCATGTTTGTGATGGGCATGAATCACGAGAAGGACGACGACTCCCTCAAGACTGTCAGCAACGCCTCCTGTACCACCAGCTGCTTGGCCACTCTGGCCAAGACTATCTGTGACCGTGGATGGCCCCTCTGGGAAGCTGTGGCGTCATGGCCGAGGGGCTGCCCAGAGCAGAGAGCATCATCCGTGCTTCCTCCGGCACCACCAAGGCCGCAGCCAAGGTCCTCCCTGAGCTAGCTGAGTGAGCAGCTCCCTGGCATGCCCCTGCATGTCTCCTCCCCCGGTGTGTCAGCCGTGGATCTGAACCACCGCCTGCAGAAAGCTGCCAGATACGACCACATCAAGGTGGTGGTGAAGCGGGCACTGGAGAGCCCGTCCCCTCAAGGGCACCTTGGGCTCCACTGAAGACCAGGTTGTCTCCTGCAGCTCTAACAGTGAGGTCCACTCTTCCACATTCAGTGCCGGGGCTGGCACTGTTCTCAATGACCACTTCGTCATGCTCCATTCCTAGTACGACAGGGAATTTGACCAGAGCAACGGAACAGTGGACCTTACGGTCTACATAGCCTCCAAGGAAGAAGAGCCCCCCGGACCACTAGCCCTAGCAGGGGCACAAGAGGAAGAGAGAGGCCCTGCTGGAGTCCTTGCCCAACTCATCCCCCAACAGGCTGAGACTCTCCTGCCCTCCCCACAGTTTCCATCCCAGGCCCCTGAAGCAGGGGAGGGGCTTAGGGGGACCTACCTCATCATCTACCACTGTCAAGTACACAGTACCGAAATGAATAAATGCGATACGGAAATTTCATGTACAGCTGTTACAAATGCCGGGACACCTGGGGGGCCCAGTCGGTTGAGCGTCTGACTCTTGGTTTCACCTCAGGTCATGATCTCAGGGTTGTGAGATGGAGCCCTGTATCTGGCTCCAGCCTGGGCACGGAGCCTGCTTAAGATTCTCACTCTCCCTCTGCCCCCCCACTTGTGTGCGTTTGCACACACGGGCATGCTCTCCCCACCCCCACCGAAAAAAAGTTTAAAAAAGTCTGAGTAGGGCTATTGAAAGCTACTGAACACTACTGGGCATGAAATGTCACTAACAGACTGGACTTTTTTTTTAAAAAGTCATAAATTTTAACAAGATATTTTCCTTACAAATTAAGTTTTTCAGAATTTTTACTAAAAATTACATGAAAGGGAAAAAAATACTGCTTTATTAAATATTAAAGCTACTTTTATAACATTTTTGTTATCTTTACATTTTTCCGAATTTACCACAGAAGACAAAGACCTTATTTAGGGGAAGTAGGGATACTACAGAATTGCTGAACAACAGAAAAAAAACACGAGTCGCATATATAAGTTTTCTGTAGCTACAGGTAAAAGTGAAAAGAATGAAACTTTAACAAGTGAAAACTTAACAACATGTTTTATGTAACCTAGCATATCCAAAATATTACAGCATGTAACCAATACAGAAAATATTAGTAAGACATTTTACGTTTTTCCCATTTTACGTTTTTCCCATACTGTGTGTCTGTCTCACACACAGTACATCTCCTATCTCATTTTAAAAAATTGTATTGGGAAAAACAAGGAACTGGAATGAAAGATTTTCCTCTTGGACACACATGCGAGCCCAGAGGCTTGAGGAGAGGCGGCAGACAGACACCGCCCCAGAAGGAATCTGCCTAGGAGAGTCAGAGGTAAAAACACCAATAATGCCCCAGGAATTTTCCCAGCCCAGGGCTAGAACTAGCCAACGTTCTTTATCTTTATGATTGAATTGTCTTTTGACAGTTGACTCTAACTTTCCTTCCAGTTATTTCTCTGCAGGATTCTCACTGTTTCCAAGAGTACCTTTTGGCTAGAACTTTTTTGCATTATGTTCCATGAAGTTGGCTCCTCTGAGAGAGTTTTGGAGCTCTGTTGGTCTAAGCCTTGCTCTTCCCCTTGGACAAACCCCAAGTCCTAGCACTAGTGCTATGCGTGGGGACAGTGGTGTACCTGTCTCTGAGTAATATCCTCACTTTGGGAGCTGAGGGCCTGGATGATGGCTGGGGAGGGGAGCAGAGAAACTCTAGGTCTCCTTGGCTTACTTCTCTTGGTGCAAAACTCCATGAACTGGGTCAGGAGCTATTGGTGTTTTTATCCTCTGACAGAGGGAGAGTGAGAATCTTAAGCAGGCTCTGTGCCCACGCTGGAGCCAGATACAGGGCTCCATCTCACAACCCTGAGATCATGACCTGAGGTGAAACCAAGAGTCAGACGCTCAAACGACTGAGCCCCCCAGGTGAAAGAAAGAGAGGGGCAGCTTTCTGCAGGCGGTGGTTCAGATCCACGGCTGACACACCGGGGGAGGAGACATGCAGGGGCATGCCAGGGAGCTGCTCACTCAGCTAGCTCAGGGAGGACCTTGGCTGCGGCCTTGGTGGTGCCGGAGGAAGCACGGATGATGCTCTCTGCTCTGGGCAGCCCCTCGGCCATGACGCCACAGCTTCCCAGAGGGGCCATCCACGGTCACAGATAGTCTTGGCCAGAGTGGCCAAGCAGCTGGTGGTACAGGAGGCGTTGCTGACAGTCTTGAGGGAGTCGTCGTCCTTCTCGTGATTCATGCCCATCACAAACATGGGGGCTTCAGCGAAGGAGGTCGAGATGACGAGCCTCTCGGCTCCATTCTTCAAGTGAGTGCCAGCCTTCTCCATGTCCCCAGAGGACTTTAGAACCTACCCGGCTCCACAATTAGCCCCTCTGATGTTGTGGGATCTTGTTCCTGGAAGATGGAGATGGGCTTTCCACTGAACACAGGTTTCCTGTTCTCAGCCTTTAGTCCAGTCCCTGACTAAAATATAGTAAAACTAGAAATCAATTAATAGAAAGAATACTGGAAAATTCACAAATATGTGGAAATTATACAACACACACCTCTTCAATCAAGAGATCAAAAAAGAAGTAACTAGGGAAATAAGAAAGTACCCCGACACAAAGGCTCACAAAACTACAACATACCAAAGTTTATGAGATGCAGCAAAAGCAGTAGTAGGAGGGCAATCTATGGCTGTAAATGCCTATACTAACGAAGAAAGACCTTGAATCAACATTCCTACTCTAAATCTTGAGAAACTAGAAAAAGAAAAGCAAATTAAACAGTAAGACGGCAAAAGGAATAATAAAGATTAGAAGAGATAAATTGAAACTTGAAAAAGACTTTCAAACTCTTTCTATCAGACCGGTATAAAACTAGACAAGGACAAAAGAATACAAAATTAGACCACTATCTCTCACAAACACACATGTAAAATTCCTTTCACAAAATCAGCATACAAAATTCAGTAACACATTAAAAGGACAATATAGATCATTACCACATGGGTTTATCCCAAGAATGAAAAGTTCGTTTAACATTCAAAAATTAATAAATGTTTAAAAAAAGCAAATACGGGGCACCTGGGTGGCTCAGTGGGTTAAGCCTCTGCCTTCGGCTCCAGTCATGATCTCAGGGTCCTGGGATCAAGCCCCGCATCGGGCTCTCTGCTCGGCGGGGAGCCTGCTTCCCCCTCTCTGCCTGCCTCTCTGCCTACTTGTGATCTCTGTGTCAAATAAATAAATAAAATCTTAAAAAAAAAAAATACAACACTGTAATACATTAACTACAAACGGAAAATCAAATTATTATCTCGAAAATGTAGAACAAGTTATTAGTCAAGACCCAATATCCATTCCTTATAAAACCTCTTAACAGGGGCACCTGAGTGGCTCAGTGGGTTAAAGCCTCTGCCTTCAGCTCAGGTCATGGTCCCAGGGTCTTGGGATCAAGCCCCGCGTCAGGCGCTCTGCTCAGTGAGGAGCCTGTTTCCCCTCCCCTCTCTCTGCCTGCCTCTCTGCCTACTTGTGATCTCTGTCAAATAAATAAAAATCTTTAAAAAAAAAACAAAAAAACAAAAAAAACAAAACCTCTTACCATACTAAGAGCAGAGGTAAAGACTGAATGTTTTCAACCTGGGATCAGGAACAAGATTAGGACTGTCACTCCTACCACTTTAGCACTGTACTGCAAGT